TCCTTCTCCTTTCATCATAACAAAATAATTTCAGATCAAACAATAAAGAAAAATGAAATATATACACACAATAAACTACTATGTTTGCCCTCGTTTTCTTTTATGATCTCACATGAGTGTAATAAAAAATTTGTTTGAATGTAATTTTTGTTTTACAAATGTTTGAATTCGTATTTTGAAGAGTTTGGTTAAAAAAGATGTGAATGATGCTTTAAGCATAGTTTTAAAAAAAAATTAAGATGTGAGTTAGGAAGTTAAGAGATTCTTTTGAGGGATAAGGTTAGTTATTATTTGAAATTCGAATTTTAAATTAATTATTCAAGTATTTTCTTGTGGCTAATTTTGAGGATTTTTTTTAAAGGACGTGATATCCTTTTTCTTTTTAAAATTGAAAGACTTTTCTTTCTATTATTAAAAATAAAGTATGTGAATACAATTTAATAAATTGTTAAAAAGAAAGGGAAGAAAAACTATCTCATTTTCCCTACGAATCCATAGTTTTAAACAATAAGTTATTAAATTTATTTTGGTAATTATTGTATTTGCTTACCAACCGTTCTTAAATTTATTTTTTAATAGATTTTTAAAAATAAAGGGAAAAAAAAACTTCTCCATTTCCTTAAGAATCCACCGTCTTCAACTTTTTTTTTTACAATAAGTTTTTAAATTTATTTTTAATGGTAATTTTTTGTTTATTACAATCAGTTTTAAAATTTATTTTTATAATGATAATTATTGTTTTATTGTGGTGCTGACACATGACATTTTTTACTTCTCCTATGATATATAGATAGATTAAGATGATGATGATGATGATGATGATTATTATTATTATTATTATTATTATATTTTCATTGATTAAATGGTTTATAAAAAATGATGTTATAGGCGAATTCTTCTGTATATATTCATTTAAAATTTAAGCTTTTATAGTTAAATAATAATTTATAATTGATTATTAAGTGTATATTTAGTTACCGAAAATTATGTATTTGTAGATGGATGGTGTATAGTTAAATAATAATTTATAATTGATTATTAAGTGTATATTTAGTTACCGAAAATTATGTATTTGTAGATGGATGGTGTATAGTTAAATAATAATTTATAATTGATTATTAAGTGTATATTTAGTTACCGAAAATTATGTATTTGTAGATGGATGGTGTATAGTTAAATAATAATTTATAATTGATTATTAAGTGTATTTTTAGTTACCGTAGTATTAAATGTGTCAACACTAAAAAAATTCTAAAAAATTGTGGTATGGACAAATAATTTTTAAAAATTGTGGTATTGACAAATAATTTATTTTTGTTTATTTAAGATGTTTTGTAACTACCGTAGGTCAAATTGTAATTATTCAAATGTTTCAATATTTATTTAAATAATTATTTATTATTGATTAATTAAAATGATTTAAAATTTAAAATTCCAAAAAATTGTGGTAATTAGGGGTGTTCACGGTTTGGATAAAAAACCGATCCAAACCAAAAAAATCGAACCAAACCGATAAAATAAACCGATTTTATTTGGGTTTTGGTTTGGTTTGGTTTAGTTTAGATTTTTGAAAACCGATAGTATTTGGTTTGGTTATGGTTTTATTCAAAAAAACTGAAGAAATAACCGAACCAAACCGATGAATTATATACATACATTTTATTAATATACATACTTAATATATTATTTTTATAAATAATTTTAAAGATCTTATATGTTTTCATTATAATTTCTTTAGAATTTACTTATTGAAAGCAAAAATGTCAAGGTGAAAACATTTATTTTATTGATTTTATGTATAAGAGTGTCTATGATAAATCTTTGTGGGACTGAAAATGTTCTTCCTTCTAAGCCAATATAGTGAGTTTTAAAGCTTTAATCATAATAGATTTAGTGATCGGAAGTTAAATAATTTCATTCATTCTAACTATTCTTTTTGTTTTGAATGGATTGTTGTCACTTTTTTCATATTTTGAATGAATATTTCTTTTATTTTTGTGTATGATTAATAGCCGAATAACCGAACCAAACCAAACCGAAATCGATAACCACCAAACCGATAAATGTATATTATATTTGGTTTGGTTTGATTTTGATAATTTTAAAACCGATTAAGTTGGTTTGGTTTTGATTTTAACCAATAACCGATTCAAATCGATCCGTGAACACCCCTAGTGGTAATGATATGTGTCAATTTTCTTCTCCTTTTATATATAGATAGATTAATTTGATAGGGTAGTGCCTTAAAATTTTATTTTTTAGAGGTCAATTAGAAAACATGTAAGAAATTGAATTATTTTTTTATTGAACCATTTTTCTTGAATATTTTAGTAGCTTTAAAGAATGTATCTTAACAAATAATGTTCTATCACTTTTATAACATGTAAAAAATTAAAATTATGTTTAAACCCACATAAAATCACATATACCCGTAGCCTCACTCCTCCTCGCCCCGCATTAGTTTTAAAAAAACTCACGTCAACCCGTCCCACATAGCCTTAAACCCACTTCACCCTGCATCCGCCCCGCCCCGCCCCATTGCCGTTAATTTGTTCCACAAGGCCCCATTTTGTGCCTACCAAATATGATACAATACATATTGAATATTTATGTTTTTAACCACTTCATCTTAATAGAATCTTAAATTTATGATTTTATCTAGAAATAATATCATCTACACACTAATGGATGGAAAGAAAAATTGTTGACCTTGAAAAAAGATAACCTTAAAAAAATAATATCATCTACACACTAATAATATGATGATTTTTAACAATTCATCATCATAAAAAGAGAACCATTATAAAAAAAAATAAAAAAAATAAGTGCGACAAAAAAGAATAGGTTTGAGATTTATAGTTGATTAAGAAGTATAAAAAAGAAATTTGAAAGATCACCTTCTGAATGTAATTACACTCAAATCCCAATTATGTGTCTTTATGCTACATGAGAGTTTCAAATCACTGAACAAAATATTATGGAGAACAACTGATCCTAAGGAAATAATTGCACTCTTAGAAATTCTTGAAAAAGCTATGTAACAAATACTTCATAAGTTTTGAGATATTTTAATAGAGCAAATACTGCATCCCTTGTGCTTTGGCGCTATAACTGGTTTCTTCAGATTTATTGCGCGATCAAACAAAACTTCAAAAATTAAGGGAGCTAGATCTGTGCATACAACTACAAATTGGTAAAATAACCTTAACATTCTTCAAATTCCGTAAGAAAATGTCAATATTCATTTTTTCAATTTCTTATTATCTTCTTAGAGCCTGCTAGGCATTGCTGCTAAAAACAACTTAATTTTAGAAACACTTTTTCAAATTAGCTTTTCAGAAAAGTTCTTTTGGGAAAAAAATAATTTGTGTTTGGCTAATTCATTTTGAAAAATGTTTTTGATAAGCAAATTGCGTTTGGCTGGTCTTTTAAAAAGTATTTTTGAGAGTCAAATTACAAAAAAGAACAACTATTAATGTACTTTTAATATTAAAATTATGTAATTGAGAGAAATTATTTTAAATATCTATTATAATAAAAATTAATTATTGTTTTTATTTAAATTAAAATGTACATATTTAAATTTTCAATCAATATTATACCTTTTTTAAGAGGCTGAAATCTATAATTGTTATTATTTTTTTTTCTAATCTTGCAAAATATTGTTGTTACCTCTTTTCCAATTCTGCAAAATAATATATAAAATATAAAATTTATTATATAAAAATAAAAAATAAAATTCTAAAATGAAATTTAACCAAGCTTAGGAAATATACTAATTAATTAATAAGAGATATATTGATAAATATGTATGTATGAAAATGATATTTTGGTCTTGAGAAAAATATTTTTTTTGCTTTAAGAAACATAAATTTTTAGCTTCTTCCCAACAACGTAATAACTTGTTTCTGCGTCCATTTAAAAGCACTTTTACTAATTTATCGAACACTTAATTTTGCAATAAAAGCATTTTTTTTAAAAAAAAGTGTTTATGACCTCCCAACGACAATGTTAAACAGACTCTTAGGCATTGGGCACACTTTTACCACTGAGCTACGGCTCATTACTATTGTTGAGGGTGTCCAAAATACTTGATATATCAATATAAAGTAAGATTTGGCCTATTTATATAACGAAATTTTTCGACGAAGAGTGTCCAATTCTGAAGCAACCGTACCTCCGCCCTTGCATCCATATGGATGATCACTCTCCGAGCCAACTGAGTCATCATGAATGAATGACATGTAATTTAATATTATTATCTTTTTATGATTTCCAAATTAGTTTGCTACACTTTTGAATATTTTAATGAGTATTAGCTCTATCGTCTATAGTACAAATAAAAACAAAAAATTCACATCAAAATTTAAGCAAGTCAAAAGAAATCACCTACCTTTTTCATTAATTATATGATAAAGACGGATGAATGAATTTGACATCCAAAGTTAATTTACACTAGATATTTTCATTTTAATTCAACTCCAATTACATATAGAGAAGGTGGGTGAACACCTGCCGCTACACGGAGTACAGCACATAGCATTAAATGGAATTATATGGAAGATTGATTTTGAGCTGTTGGTCAATATATGAGCAAATCACATGCCTAATTTCATAATTTTCAAAGTAGGATTCAAAAAAATCAAACTTTAGGATAATAATAGAGAAAAGGGCTAAAAATATTTTTAAATTATATTAAAATAATTTTATAAATAATTTGATCTAAAAATATTTTTACGTTAAAGTAAAAAACCATGTCACGTCACACTGCTTTGTTTTTGTTCAATTCTGTGCGCGTAGCTCAGTGGGGAGGCAGGTTGTCACTCACGAGTCACGTGCATTAATCTTGGGCATGTAAGTCCAATATATGAATCCCAACTCTGCCCCACATGAACAAGATCCATTATGGAGGAAAATGACACATGAGTATATCAAAACCAATCAGGACACCATGTACAATCTTATTTAATATTTTACTAAATCATTACGGACTTAAAAAAAGAGCACCATGTCGGTTGTGTTATTAGCCTATTCATCTAACTTTTTTTGTTTTTGATATCTAATATCATACGTGGTTTATTATGTTTAGATAACTGCATCCTATTTTTACTGTTTATTGAATTTATACTCTGCATTGCTATGCTATTAGCTGTTATATTTTTCTTTTAATTACTATTTTGATTTGCTAAAACCTGATAATCTTTCGAAAACAAGATATCTACCTAGGAGAGAGAGTGATAAAATTATGGTTTTGGCAAAACTATCATTCACACCCCACCTATTATATATATATATGATGAAGAAAAGAAAAGAGAGTTGAAAGTAAGAAACAAAATGACCAACTTATTGTTCCTCCAATTCCTCCTATTAACCACTGCTTCATCCTTAACTCACATCTCTGCACAGACAGTTCCACCACCACCACCGCCGACATCCGCCGCAACTCCACCGTCCCGCGCGGCGCAAGAATTCTTGGATGCACATAACAAGGCAAGAAGTGAAGTGGGTGTAGGCCCTTTGACATGGAGTCCAATGTTAGCCAAAGAAACTAGCCTTCTTGTTCGTTACCAAAGGGACAAACAAAATTGCAGCTTTGCAAATTTAAGTAATGGCAAATATGGTGGCAATCAATTATGGGCTAGTGGTACCGTGGTGATCCCACGAATGGCTGTCGATTCTTGGGTTGCTGAGAAGAAATTTTATAACTATGAAAATAATTCATGTACAGGGGATGATAAGTGTGGAGTTTATACACAAGTTGTTTGGAAGAAATCGACAGAATTGGGCTGTGCGCAAGCTACTTGTTCGAAAGGACCTGCTACTCTTACTGTATGTTTTTATAATCCACCTGGAAATGTAATTGGGGAGAAACCTTATTGATGTGTGATTTTACATGATTTGTAAGGTAACTTTTGTGTTTTCAAGTTTGTAGCTTATAATAAAAAGTTACTCTGTTCATTTGCTGCTATTCTCCATTCACTTTCAGTATAATTGGTGCAGGGAGACTAAATCTAGAAGTTTAGTTTTTAATTCGGAATCCATTACATGAAACTTCGAGTTCAAAATTTAGTATTTTGTTGAAATTTCAATAAATGTCATATGTATATTAGGATTTAGGGCCGGTAGCATTTTATCGAAAAAAACTAGATTTGTTAAAGAATGAAAAGTCCCATGTTTAATGATGAGATGGATGGTTTACTTGTAAGGGTTATACAATCTAGTTTCTCTCTCAGATGGCTTTTGAGATTGAAATAGATTCATTTGTTTAATTACTATCAGAGCGAGAACCATTTTAGTTGATGTTGGGATCTAAATGAAATTTGATGAGGTGGGTGTTAAAAGAATGAAAAAGTCTCGTTTCATTGCAGAAATTCAGGCATATTGACACAAGGTTCATCTGAACCCATTATTTTTGACATAGAACATAAAGATATATTTAAAAATTCATGAAATTGCAACAAATAACAGATACAAACTCATAACTGAGTGGAGCGAGGGGCTTTAGCGGGAAAAGTTTTAATTGAAGTAGGGTGGAGCTCCTCTCCTTACCGTCAAGTGGCTTTCACTCCTCATAGAGGGTTAGAAAGTGTCAGTTCTCATAGCAAAGATATCATAGGTTCAATGCTAAGAATCTAAGTGTTGACCCATAAAACTTAAAATTCTGAATCCGCCTCAGATTGAATCTACCTGATATCCGCACCTTTGACCGGAGACAACCAAGAATCCTAATATAAAGAGGAGCTTGGGATTAAGACGTAGTTGATTGATATTTGATGCAACCACGCCCACAACAAATGTGAATCTGAATTATATATCAAAAACTTGAAGCCAAAAAATGATGTCGCATACAAAACACAGATTGTAGGCATTCTTCAGTCAAATCCTCCATTCTAACTCCAAAATTTGTATGCAGTTATACAGAAGAGAGAAAAGGAAATAAGTTCCTTCTGAAAAGGAAAACACAAAAGAAAAAGAGAGGTCTCACAAAACAATCTTTTCCCACTCTCAATAATTCCACATGAGATAAACAATGATTTCACTTACCCTTAACGAGACTCGAACCACAACCTATTGGTTGGAGGTCGAAGTGGCTTACTACTAATCAAATCTCTATAATCACTTAAACAAGCTTTAACACACCATTAAAGTAGACATTTCACCAGCTCCTCCATGATTAGATACCGGAAAGAAAAATTATGAGGTACATATTCGATGTTCTTGTGAGAATTCTTCTGCTGAATCATCTTTATGCTTCTTGTAAGAGATTCAGGTAAAGATTGCTGGATCATCTCTAAAACACCAGTTGGAAGTAGGCCAGAATCTTTAGCAAAGGACTCCACAACTTTTGGCAAAACAACTTTCTGATCCTTCTTCAGACCAAAAGTTGCTCTAATGTATTCTTCTTTTGCTGCTTCTAGCTCCTGAAACACTCTATTCGGTGTATAAACTCGAACCTGACAATGGAAACGTTTTCCCCGTGAGACAATCAAATGTCATAATTGTTTATCAAGTCCTGATGTCAATTTCTAGCCTTATAAAAAGATATTGCAGCAATGTTCAATGCCATGTAATTCAATTATTATTGAATACAAGGAAAAATGATAATCGCAAACTTTAAGGAGAAATGAAGATTATGGACAATACCGCAGGATCTGAATGATTGCCTGAGCAGAGTGCAAAGTGCAGAAGGGGTTCTGGATGTTCAATAGCATAGGTTCGTCTTTCATCGCCTGCGTTAAATTTTTCCCTAGAAGAAAGTAACAAGCGAAGCCACTACAATACAAGTACCAAATTTGAGAATGCCAACTATGAAACTAGTAAAACGAGACATGTAGGGATCAGAAAATACTAGGCATGAGTATCGGTCACTTAATATGAATACAGTAGGGACAAGATTTTTACAAGAAAAAGAAAATACTTAGATGCTTTTGCAAGTTTCTCAGATAAAGCTGGTTCATGAACTAACACAACTACTTGTAGAGGTTTTGTGTAGTAAAGAACATAGTTGCTGAATATGCAATTTAAGCAGAAATGCATGTATAACAGGAAACTATTTTAGAGGTGTACCTTTCCTGGATTAGACACCCGACATCCCAAGATAGAGTTCTGAATCACATTCGCACTGATTACATGACCACCGACATTATAGGCAGCCTGGATTAAGTAAAAAGGTTAGACAAAATCCACCAAACAACTCTTGGACAAAGAAATAAGTTTGTCTCACTAACCTTCAAGAGTAGATAAACTCTCTTCACAGTCTTTTGTGGAATGCCATAAGATAAAAATGCCTAAATAGGAATAGTTGAAAAACATGGTAAGCTCAGAGTGGATATGGAACTTCACAGACTTCTTAACCTATAATTCTGAAAGTTTAATCAAGAAGGATAATTACATGCATCACCAATGCATTATGTATGTTAATCCAGAATGCTAGCTTTTCTTCATGACTCAATTTTCCCGGATCTATCACTTCTAGGCGAGAAACAATTGACCTGCAATGTAAAACATTATTGTGCATTTTACAGCAAGAAATTGCTAAAGTACGACACGTTCCACGAGATGCCTGAATCTCAAATTTCCTTACCTGAAATTTTGCAACAAAGGCTCAATATCACCTAGTTTGTGACTATCTTTATATATACATTGTACTTCAACCATTGAGCTGTAAGGTCCAGTGGACTCCTTCAATCCTTCCACATGAAAAAGATTGTCACGAACATCAAATGATGAATCTTTCCTTGATCCTGGGCTCCATAGGTCACATTGGTCTTTCGTAGAAAAGGCACTCATTGATGAAAAGGATGAGGTTGGCGAGAGACACGGATTTGCAAGTGGAGGATCAGCAAGTTTGCAAAATATGGTGCACATGCACCTTACCATGTCCTCAGACATCTTGTTTGGTGTCTCTGGAACATGATCAGAAATACGGGTGCCAAGATGCTCCGCCAAACTGATTAAATTTGAAGAAGAATTCTGCGCGTACTGCAAAGTACCAATTAAAGTAAAACTCTTAATTCTCCACTTTTCATTGGTCTGCCATAGCGAAAATCATGACACTATAACATGGATAGATACAAAAGTAATATCTAATCATTTCCCTTTTCGTCAAAAAGGAAAAAGTGCAGTAAAAACTTATCTCTGATACAACGTACCTCCATCATAGATGAAGGTTGAGACTGACAAGCACGCAAAGCTTTGCCTGGTATATCCCCTGTTGTGGAAGCTCTCTTTGACAGATCCGAATGTTGAGTTAGTGAGGAACGACTTCGATGGACCACAGATTCTCTAACTCTGTCTTCTGCTGTGCTAGTTGTTTCTTTCCATGGATTTGACTCTGACTGTCTATCAGGCTGAGCACAAGAATTTGTCCTTCTCACTTTAGTATAAGATTTAGAAAATCGAAAGCACCTTCTCATTTTGGCATACATAGGAGATTTTAGTATATCATCTCTTGTGGGAGGATACAAGGATGAGCTCTGTTGATCACATGCTCTTTTACTATATAACGAAAGAAGATACTGCTCCAAACGCCCTTTTTCCGACTCTAGTACTGCAATTTCTCTAATCAGTTCTGTAGTTGGCTGGATCTAATTGAAAAAGACACATGACCAACACAGAGGGTATTAAAAACAACTCAAGAAAAAGCTCAATTTTGACAAGAATAACCATGAGTGCGACGGTGAAAAAAATTATGGCAAATTTACAATACAGTATGTGAGCTTTACACTAGCTATGTTACTTCACAAGAAGATGTAAGAAGTTTGAAATGCTTAAATTTACACAAACAACTGTCGGAATCTCTAACTAGAAGTAACCAGAATAATATGTCATACTATAGTGTTTTCATTAAGGTTACAAGGAACAGGAGGAGATACCTCAGGCATTGAGATCGTCTGAGTGATGTTTTGCGAGAAAGATTCATATCCCAATGCTTTCTCTAGAGAACGTCGAACTGTGAGTTGATGCTCTAATCTTCCCTCGAGTTGCATTATCTGTAAAGTAGTTAAGTTTTCGACCAATTTATACATTAATAATTTGTTGAACCAACTAGAATTAATTAACAGTTTCATCATCTCAATTTTCTTACCTCTTCCTTCAAAGAACTTCCGACTTCCTCAAATGACTGCTTCTTCTTGCTCTTACTACAGTCATTTCTATCACCCTTATCCTAGACAAAAAAAATAAAAAAGTATATCCTCAAATATCCCAAATGCTTGGTTAATCTAAGGTGTGTTCGTTGTTCATTTTCCTTCCTTTATCTTTGAGAGAAATTTGAAACTTTAGGCAATTGTTTGATGATGTAAAAACAAACTTGAAAGCGCACAAGGAAGAAAAACTACAATGCAAGTTAGCAAGATAAGGATCAAAAGTTCATGATGAGTCCAACAAAAAGTGTAACTTTTTTGTCACATTTTGCTATGAAAGCTCTAATATAAAAACAGGATGAACACATGGAAGCTTCCTTACCAAATTCAATTGATTAGAGTCCTCTACTGAATGATCCACATTGTCTATGAATCCGCGTGTATACGGGAAACTGCATTCGTGAAGATCAAATAGTAAAGAAAATGTTACAAAATCATACTAGCATAGAAGATTAAGCTAAAAAAAAAAAACATTTTCTGGAGTACAAAATGGCTCCTAATATAAACAAACTTCATACAAAAAACTAAAACACTAGGAAATTAACAAGAGAAAATAACAAAAGCCCTTCAATTTTCTTTTTTCCATTTTTGCTACAAAACCTTTGAACTTTTGCTTTTTAAGACCAACATCAATGAAATTGAATCAAGAAAATTGCAACTTAGAGAAACCCCAAATACAAAAAAAAACAGAGATTACAAAATACTACTCTCTCTGTTTCAATTTACGTGATATCATTAGGATTTCAGATTCTAACAACTTTAGTTTTGATGGTGACTTATAATAATTAACAATTCAAAATATTTAAAAGACAAAAGAAAAAAT